GGATGGGTGGGGGCGAGGTATGGGTGGGAACTCAGACCTGGGGGTGTCATCTGAGAGGCGAGCTGGGTAAGTCTGAGGAGGGCCAGGTCAGAGTGAGACCAAGAAGGCCACCTCTAGGTGCTGTCCTGGGCAGGGTTCAAGCCAACGCAAGGGGCGTCAGAGTGAAGAGTTGCTGGGCCTGGCCCCTTTTAAGGCTCCATATCTTAATCTCCTGTAAACTGGCACTGGGGGAGCCCGTAAGTGGTGGACCAGGGGGCATTTCTTTGGCTCAGTGGGACTGTAAACCGTGTTTACTTCTGGGGAAGAGTTAAAAGGGAGTAGTGGTTGGGTTTTGATTTTTATCTCATTCATAGACTACCAACCATAAGCCAAAATTAGCCAGCCCTGTGCCCCGACAGATTGGGTCACCAAAGTTGGGATGCATTTGGAGGGGGTGTGCCTGGGGCTCAGGGAGGAAGATGGGAAGTGATGTGGGTTGCTTGGTGGCACCACAGCGGGAGCCTGGAGAGCGCAGCAGATGGAAGGGCGCTCAGGAAAGATTCTTGAGGTTTTAGACGGTTCTGGAATGGGAACACACTTCCCTGTAAGCAGAATGTGTGTGCTTCTGGAGGCTCGATGCTCGGTTACTGCAGATCATGAAATAAGTATTTACAGAGTACTGGCTAAATAATGTTTCACGTGATAGGTGCTATGAGGAGTACCAAAGAAGTAAAAACAAGACCTCACCCGTGAAATTAATCATATATCTAAAGTACTTAAAACGAGTCTGACTAGGGCGGAGGCACATTGGCCCCAATGCCACCGACCGCGTCCTGGAGGCTCCCTGCTAAGTCAGGTGCTGGCCCTGTAGTTGCCTTATGAAAAGGCTGTGGGGAGAGGAGAACTTCCGGGAAAGGTCTGGGGCTACCGGAGCTCTCAGAGGACCCAGGAAAGCTAGGTTTCTCGGTAGATATGGAAGTAATCCAGCATTTAACAGCTGGAATGGTTTTACTGCTGTGCCCTGTTGAACACCATGCCTGCAGAAGTCCAAGCTTGGATGGAATCCCCTCATGAGTGATGATGATAGCAGTGTCCTGGGTTCAGAGGAGAGTTACCGGTGTGTTGTGAGCGCCATGCTTAGCCTCAAGTGTTGAACTGGCTCCTGAACAAAGGAGAAGAATTAGGAAAAATAGAGAGCAAGGTAACTCTCAGGCATGGGGAGCGATTGAACAAAGATTCAGAGGTGGAACTATACCTAAAGTGTGTGGGGGCAGCAGTCCCATCTCAGTTTTGTCATGGCCAAGGAAATGCAGTCCAGCAAGCAAAAGTATGTTAAAGTAATTCAAACCCTCAAATGTCCAAGGATTTTCACTGATGCGTTGAAAAGAGATTGGAAACAAACTGAGTGTTCGTTAGTAGGCCACTGGATGAAGTGAGGTCCATCCGTAATTCAAAGGAATGATTGATATGAAACAGTCCTTAAGATAAACACATAAATACAATTCACTCTCCCAACAGCTTCTAGTGTAGAGTATGATACTGTCAACTCATACACATTATTGTGCAACAAATCCCTGGAAACCCCCCATCCTGCATGACTGAAACTCTATAGCAGTGATGGCGAACCTATGACACGCGTGTCAGAGGTGACATGTGAACTCATTTTTTGGTTGATTTTTCTTTGTTAAATGGCATTTAAATATATAAAATAAATATCAAAATATAAGTCTTTGTTTTACTATGGTTGCAAATATCAAAAAATTTCTATATGTGACACGGCACCAGAGTTAAGTTAGGTTTTTTCAAAATGCTGACATGCCGAGCTCAAAAGGTTCGCCATCACTGCTCTATAACAACCCTCTGCCCCTTCCTCCCCACAAACACTGGCAACCACCATTCTGCTTTGTGGTCTGGAATTTGACCACGTAAAATGGTCTATGAATTTGACCACTTTAGGTATCACATATACGTGGAATCAGGCACTATTTGTCTTTTTGTGACTGGCTATTTCACTTCATGTAATGTCCTTAACGTTTATCCATGTGTTAACCCATAACAGAATTTCCTCCCTTTTTTTTTTAAAGTATATTTTATTGATTTTTTACAGAGAGGAAGGGAGAGAGATAGAGAGTTAGAAACATTGATGAGAGAGAAACATCGATTAGCTGCCTCCTGCACATCTCCCACTGGGGATGTGCCCGCAACCCAGGTACATGCCCTTGACCGGAATCAAACCCGGGACCCTTCAGTCCGCAGGCCAATGCTCTATCCTCTGAGCCAAACCGGTTTCGACATTTCCTCCCTTTTTAAGGCTGAATAGTATTCCATTGTATGTATATACCGCATTTTCTTTATCAATTCATCATGCATGGGCATTTAGGTTTCTTTTACCGCTTGGCTGTTGTGGATAATGCTGCAATTTAGGATAATTTTTAAAGGTGCAGAATTTTAAGTATAGTAACCTACCATTTCTGATAAAAAAGAGAAAGGAAGGAAGGAGAGAAGGAGATGGAGAATAGAGGCAGTAGAAGGGAGATAAGAAGAAGGAGGGGAAAAGAGGGAGGTAGAGAAGGAAGGAAGGACACTCATTAACAGAGTAATCCACCAGGGGAACGTGGTGACTGAGGTACTGGAGTAGGTAGAAGACTTACTTTCCACTGTAAAAGCTTTTGTTCTTTTAAAATTTGCACCATGTAAATGTGTTATCTATGGAAAACTGTAAATAAAATTATTTTTAAAATACCTCCAGGCATTTACTTTTATTTCCCAAAACTTCTAACAGCAATTCTTAGGCCATTCAACCACTCTTCTCCCACCTTCTTTTATGTACCCTGAAATTGATCCCGAGCCAGCTCAGAACTCTGCTCACCCCCATCCCTGAAGCCCTGTCCTTCCCCTCCCTACTTTCCTCTCTACCTGTGGATCCCCTCGTCCTTCCACCTCTCCACTCTGCATCACTAAGCCAAAAGGTCCCACCTGGCTGACAGAGTCTCCCATGCTGTGTGGGGGGTAGATGAGGATGGAGGTAGATGTGGGGTATTTGAGGGGTGATGTTGACCAGAGGAGAAAGTCCTTCTCCCAGTCATTTTATTTCCTGCTGCCAGCTTATGTATCTAGAGCTCTGAAACTGGATGCTGTCTTGAAGGTCTGTGTTTGTAGAGAGAGCATGGGGTTTACAGTGTGATGGACCTGGGTTCGAATGCTGGTTCTGTCACAAGCAAAATTGAAACAGACTCATAGATACAGAGAACAGACTGATGGTTGCCAGAGAAGGAGGGGGCTGGAGGAAAAGGTGAAGGGATTGAGAAGAACAAATTGGTAGTCACAAAGTAGCCATGGGGATGTAAAGAACAGCATAGGAAATATAGTCAGTAATCCTATCTAATAAAAAGGGAATATGCAAATTGTCTGTCACACTGTCACAAAGATGGCTGTGCCCACAGCGGAGGCCGAGTTTCCGTAATGAGCCTTAATGAGCAATCAGCAGGGACCTGAGGCTGCGTGGCGCTGGGCTGGGGCAGGGGACCTGAGGCTGCACCCCCTGCCCAGTGGGGATTGACAGGGGACCTCAGGCCGCACCACCCACCCAGCAGGGCTTGACGGGGGACCTCAAGGCATGCCCCCTGCACTGGTGCCGGGTCGGAGTACCTCAGGCCGCACTGCCCATCCTGGCACTGGGCTGAGGGACCTCAGGCTGTGCCCCTCACCCCAGCGCCAGGGCCAGGGGACCTGAGGGTGCACTGGGGGACCTGAGGCTGCACCCCCGGCCCAGTGGGGCTTGAGGGGGGATTTGAGGCTGAGCCCCCCACCCTGCGGGGCTTGTCAGAGGCCCTGAGGCTGCATCCCCCTGCCTGGCGGGGCTTGACAAGGGTGGGGCTAGCCAGGTCTGGATCTTGCCCAATGGGGGTGGGGATGGCTGGGGCTGGGTCTCGCGCAATTTTGAGGTGCCGTGGGTGGGTGAGGACTTGACTCTGGGTCCTGCGGTGCACCCCAGACTCTGACAGGAGGAAGATTTTCATATACATTTTACTAATTTTCCTTCATCTCTGACACCTCTATTATAGAGAAAGGGTAAATATCAATATTAAAATATTTCCTCTAATCCCCTTTTAATGTGCACGAATTTCGTGCACTGGGCCACTAGTATTGTAATAACTACAGTGGTGCCAGGTGGGTACTATAAATATTGGGGGGATTGCTTTATATATGATTGTATAACTGCTATGCTTTATACCTGAAACTCATACACAATTATATTGAATATAAACTATAATTGAAAAATAAGATTTATTTTTAAAAAAGGGGTACTAAGGTAAAAATAGGATGAATAGTATTAGGGAAATATTATAATAATATGTTCTATTATTCAGCTAAATGCTTTTCCTCTTAACATAATTTTCTGTTTTGGGTATTTCAACCTATAGGGATATAACTAAATAGAAGGAATAAATATAAAAAATGCTGATACATTAAAAACAAAACACAACTCCTGGTTCTGTCAAATTCATCAGCGTGATGTGAGCAGGTTAGCTCACCTCTGTCAGGGTCAAACTACCTTGTAGGGTGTTATGAAACTTAGAAATACTATATTAGGACACCTAGAGCAGTGTAATCCATACAGGACAGGAATTATTGACACACTGCATCCTACTTGAAAGCTTCCTCATTTTTCTGACCGATCCTTGCCACCTTGCTCTGTCCAAATCCAGTTCTCATTGGGGTACTCAGCTGTACTCCCCCCTCAGCCCTCTGCCTCTGAGCCTGGAGGTGGGCTGTCTGTTCTCCTTTCCCCTTCCTGCTTCCAGACTCATGTTGAAAGCCTCCAGTTCGGGTCTCATGCCATCAGATGAAGGCACCCTCTGTCCTCATTGCGGCATCATGTACCGATGGCACTGCCCTCACTCCTTCAGGATTGGGCTCCCAGTTCCCGGTGACTTGGGGAGCCAAGGTTACTCCTGTGTTAACATGTGGCGATTTCAACAGACACATGAATGATCCTTTCAATAACCTGGCCTCCTTGAACTTTCTCATCCAGTGATCTTATCCCTGCCCTGTCTTAACCATCTTTTCCCAAGACCTTGCATTACCAATAACCATCGCCTCTCTGACCACTGCTCCCATCTTTTCAGCTCACTCCCACCTATTTCCCACTACTACAAGCCCATGACCTTCCAGCACCTCCAACCCATTGATCCTGCCACCTTCCCACTGACCTTCACCTACACCGTGCTCTTTGCCCCCTGACCTAGCTTGAGTGCTGGGCTCCATCGTTCTCATCATTCTCTTGCATAAACTCCCGACTGGCCTCTTCCTTGCTTTGTTGCACTGGTTTGGCAAAATGACAACCCTGATGAAATCCAACTCTGCCTACTCCACCCCAGTACCCATAAAGCTGAAAGGGGCTTGTGAAAAACCAACAGTGTCCACTTTAAACTCAGGACCTGGAATCTCTAGTCGACTTTTATGCTCCCCAACAGACACCCCACACGTCTATTCCAATTACTTTCTTGCTCTTCTAATCACTATTGCACACTTTCTTTTTTCCCCCTCAAATGTCCAAAAGCTCTTCTCTCAACCTCACTCTGTGATGCTCTTGCTTCTTTCTTGGTTTAAAAATATGAAAAGCAATAAAATAAAATTTCCACAAACTCATATCTACCTTATATGCCAATATCTGTATTCATATACCCTCCCATGCCTTCCGTTGCTGCAGATGGACTGCCAGCCTTTGCCAGCCTTAAAACTAAAACTGCCACTTTTGCTCTGAACCCCATCCACTCTCATCTTGAGGCAGAACCAACAATTCTCCTATCTCCTGTATTCTTATTTTTCCCTCTCCACTAGATAATACTCATCAAACAAAATCCTCATTCCTCCCACTACCTACCGTCCCATTTCTATGACCCCCTACATAGCAAAATGTCTAGAATATGAGTATTCTTGTTGTGTGCCATTTTTTTCCTGTTTTATCTCATACTCATTTATCAGGCTTTTACCCTCATACTGCTAAGGAGAGAAAGTAAAGAACTTATCAAACTCACCGATGACCTCTGCTAGATTAGATTAAATGGGCGTTTATCGGTCCTTTTCCTGCTTGACCTGTGAGCAGGATTTGGCCCAGCTCATGATGACCTTCTCTTGATGAAAGAACTTTCTTCACTTGCTTCCAGGACCCTTGTCCTCTGGTTTCCTCCTACCGACTGAAGATAATCCCCTCTCCTTTCAACTCTTTAAAATTGAAGATCCCTAGGGCTCATTCCTTGGGCCTCTTTTCTTCTCAATTCCTGTGGAATCACTTTGGGGTACTCATTTAATTTTAGAGTTTTACAAACCATCTGTATCTGCCACCTCCAAACTTGTTACCTCCAGCCTCTTAACTCTCAACTACCATATCCAACTGCTACTCAGTGTCTCCAGTGAGAAGTCCAGTAGATATATAAAATTCGAATGTGTCCAAGCACACATTCCCAAACTTCCCCTGAGAACTTACACCACCCTTATTCTTCCCCACATGGGTTAATGGCGGCTCCATTCCTCTTGTTGCTCCAGTCCCAAGCTTTGGAGTCATCCTCACTGCTGTTCTCCCCTTCTCCCAGTCCCACTACAAATTCACTAAGAAATCACATAGGTTGAGCTTTCAAAATGTGTTTAGCATCAGAGCATTTCTTACTAATTCCTCCACTCCCCCCTGTGCCAAGCCACTGTCTTCTGTATTAGAGGAATAACTTGCTGATCTCTTTTTCCACTTTTGCTCCCTAGAGTCTAGGCTCAACACAGCAGCTGGAGTGATCCTACTAAAAAAATATCATGTCACTCCTTTGTTCAAAACCCTTCAATGATTTCCATTTCTCTGAGAGTAAAAATCAAAATTCTACAGGCAGGGCTGCATGTAACTTGACCCCCTTTACTCCCTGCTACTCTTCTTACCTTGTTCCAGCTTCTGCTCTGCTTGTTGATCCTTCCAGGCACACTCCCACCTTAGGGCTTTTGCATTGTTTGTTCCTTCTAACCACAATATACTTGCCCCAAGAATATACATAGCACTTTCATCTCCAGTCTTTGTTCAGATGATACCTTCTCAATGATGCCTGAACCAATCTCTCCATTTGCAATTGCAACCCCTCCATCCCACATCCCTGATCCTCCTCACCTGCTTTCCCTCCCACCCTCCATGCAGAACTTATTGTGACTCCTCCACTAGAATATAAACTTTGTGAGGTCAATGATCTTTTCATGTTTTGTTCACTGGTATATCTTTCTAGCACCTAAAACAGTACTAACACATAGTAGATGCTCCGTAAATATTCATTGAATAAGTGAATGAGTTGCTTTTAATTTCATAGAAAGTTCACATTCATTATCTTCCTATCACTCAAAGCCCTCCAAAGTCCAACTCAAACCCATCTACCACTTTCTCTTGAGACAGAAATACATTCAGTTTTTCTATGAACATCCTATATGCCAGATCCAAGGGGGGATTGTGTGTATATAAAGATCAAATAAGATACAGTACCTGCCTTTGAGAGCTTAGAAAAATTCTTGTTTATATTCTCTCTCCTCTATTATTTATCCTTTCTCCTCTAGGTCCGAAGAGTCCTTTCTCAACATGAATGTGAGAAGAGCTCAGTTTGTGACATTTTATTCCTTGGAGCTCTCTATTCACCTTTGACTATAACGTCTCAGCTCAATGATTACTTTCAGACAGACCAGACAAGGATCTCCTCTTAGATTCCACATGTTAGATCCATGTGTCCTGTTTTATGGCCATGCAGATTTGTTGGTCACATAGAGAACCCAACCAATCATAAGTCCATGTTTCCTCTTCATTACTTATTAACAGTTCCTAGTCACATTCCTAGGTTTTTTGTTTTTCTTTATAGCATTCCCTTTCCATTAGAGTGAGTGTTTGACTGACAGAGTTTCCTAGGGAGATGTATTAATGACAACTTTTTAAGTTGCTAGTGATAGAAAACTCCATTTAAACTAGTTCCAAAAGTTCAAGAGCAGGAGCTCAAATGATGTCACAGGCCTTGGCCTTTCTCCTTCTGTAAACTTCCTCTTCTCCAGATTGACCCTGTCCAAAGGCTCCACATGGTAGCTTGATGGCCACTCGTAGAAAAGAGAACGCTCTCTTCCTCCAAAGTTCAGATAGGAGACGGCCTGACTCTCATTGGTTCATATTTACTTACAATCTTCACCTCTGGGTCTGCAGATGGGCACCAAAAGAAGAGGAACTATTTTGGGGTGTCAAAAATTAACTAATGTTCACCCTCCAGACAGCTTCAGGATGCTCAACTTTGCTTTACTAGTACTTTTTAAGATGCCACCTCACCCACCGGAGACAGATGGTCATCTTCATCTGCATTTGCCCTATGCTTTGCCTCTGGCCTTTGTGACTGTTGTAATCACCTCTTATTCACCCTGTTGATTAGGTAGGGACTCCTGCCCTAGGGTGATGGGACAGGTCAAATGAGACTGACAGCAGTTTATTAGTCACCTACACTCACAGCTCACAGGAGGAGGACACAATGCCACACAGGGCCACATGGGGGTTGCCCTTGGGAACAGAGCGAACAACCAGGTGCCGGGGTTCTTGTTCCAGCATTAAGAAGGGTTCTGGAATCTGGAGAAGGCTGTGTGTAGATTAAATAGGAGTCCAGAAATTAAATATAATTTTGAAAGGCATTTGGGGGTCAGAGGAGCCTAGTTTTAAAGGAGACTAAGATCTCCTCGTCTCAGGACCCCATGCTTTTTATTAACACAATTTGTCCTGAGGCAAGGCAGAGATATACACTTCAAAGGTCAGGGTTTCGGCTTACAGAGTCCATTGTCAGAATGGGGGAATTAGCCTAAGGCTGTTCAGGTGTTTGGCCATTAGGAGGCAATAACATGTAGATTAAGATGCCCTGAGCTGTCTGACAGCAAACAATCAATTTAATGTATCCTATTCAGGTTTGGGGAAATGCCATCAGCCATTCCCAGATTCAGCCCTGCTGTCATGCTGGAATTGGCTTCCGGCAACCAGGGGTTGTGGGAGGCAAGCTTTGTGCTCTCAAGAGTGTGTGGTTCCCAGTGGCTCTGGTGGGAGGATGCAATTGGCTTGTTTGAATAATTCCGCTGGCTGGCAGAGACCTGAAGCCCACTACCTGAAGCCCTGCTCCCCTTGGTACCGGTGGACCTTATGTAGGACTAATAGGAAAGGAAACTTGGGATATAGGCTGTTCGAGGCTCTCCTGATTGTTTGTATCAGGTGTCAAGGCAGTACCTAATGTTAGTTCTTAATATTGGCCTTACAGCACAGTGGGTTGCAAAAGGGGAGTATCGTTTTTTAGGCCTTTCTCAGAATAGTCTTTCTCTAAGGCCTCAGAAGTAGAATGCCTGCCTTTCTTTCCTGTGCGCCTCTGTTGCAGGTCGTGATCCCCATCTTGGTCAATGGGAAGAACCACCTGGACTGGCCCCCTGTGGTATGTCAAGATGTCCAGCGGCGCGCCCACAGCCTCCAGTGTGACCTCATGGTTCTCCTTGAGCAAGTGAGGGGGAAAACTTTGCTGCCTCTTCCCGTAGGCTCAGAAAACATGGATTTTGTGGATTCTGAGAGTGAGACCGTGTAAGTGCCATCAGCCTGGGCATATGGGCCTCAGATACGGGAGATACTGGATTATCTGAATGATTTCCTTATGACTTTTCTGTTCCTGACTCTGCACAGCTCCTTATTCTGCTGTTTGTCAACATCCTCAGACTGTGTGTTTTGTGCTGATTACCGCCCTTGCCCCAGTCCCTCAGCCTGAAGTCTTTTAAAGCTATCGCAGCATCATGGCCCTTTTCCATCCAGAATCATTCCAGGGCTGAGAGCAGCCACAGAGATGTCAGTATTTTGCTTATGGGGACAGTGTCTCATCACTGGCAAGGGCCCAGGTCCGGCCTGGGAGAGAGCCACGCACTTCCCAGCATTCACCCAGCACATGACATCATAGAACTAACTCAGACCCTCCTCCCCCGGCAGCCGGAGACTTTCCTCAGGTCCTGGGGATGTTTTCCAAAAGAAACAAATCTGGCTTTGTTAGAGTGTGGAGTCCAGGCCTCCTGTGCCTGGATGGCATCAGAAGCCCAGCCTCGTCCCCTTTAAGGAGTTATAGCTGCCATTTTCGTTTATTCCATGTACCATTCCAGCTGCAAGCTTTCTTTGCTTCTGTCCCATGGGGCTTTTCCTTTTTCATTCAAGCCAGGCTATGTATCTAAATGATATATTTTGTTATATTCTACCCAAGATTTATTGGTGGTTTATTTATTTATTTATTTTTTTGCGGGGGGGGGGGGGGGGGGCCGGGGGGGACTCCTACACAGGGGGAGGGAATTACTCAAACACAGATAAGAATTTCATTTGCGGGTCCCCAAAAAAAAAAAACCCCGGGAAATTTCCTTTTTAGCCCTTGTGGGG